CAAAATGTTGTTACAACAAACAAAATTGACACACGATGCGCAGCCTAGTGATCCATTGATGTATTTGTTTCACATAACAAATTAAAGAAGCTAAAAATGATGACGTCATCTATGCGTCTGTCCTCCAATAGATCATGAGTAAGAACCAATCAGAAAGGCGCACCTAATTCAGCTTCTTATATACATTTGTTGCATTTTCGCAAGGTGCATTACTCTTTCATTAATGAAACGTTGGTCAGAAGACGACATATAATCATAAGACGTGTAATATGGAATAAAGTTTTGAATTACATAGGCAGCCTATAGGTTGGTATAACAAAATGAATAGTTGTGGCACTGTGTAATATGCTTACTGCATCACGTACCATTGCAGTCTAAGACCGCGCTACCATCACAAACACCTAAAAGAAAGAAAATACACATCATTTTCATCCGGCATTGTTTACAACGAAATATACTTATGCAGAAAAATCTTCCACTGGCTGAATGCGAAACAGTTCGTTATTCATCACGAACTTGGAGTTCAGTTCGGATTTAAATAATCCAAATTGCGAGATTAGCGCATAGAAAACTCTGCCACGAAGTCGCTAAGCGAATGAATTAAACAAAGAAAACCACCGTGAAGATTTTTATTTACAAATAAAGGAAAAAAACTTTGCAAGATAGGCATGGATGACGATCTCAATGGGGTCAACCGTCAATCGTCAAATGGCCAAAATATTTATTGCCAACCGTCAAAAATGCACCGATTTTACCGTCAATCGTCAAATCTCTCAGATATCCTTAATTAAGAACTAAACGATTGCCTTAATTGGGATCAAGTTCTGTTATTTATAACTAAAAGCCTTGATATATCATAAAAATACATTTATGCAAGTCCTTTTATAAACTGCTAGTCGGGAGTAAAACTGGTCAGCGACAGAACTGACTTCCGGTGTGGGAACACTTCCGGTGTCGTAAAACGAAGTGAGATGGACAGGATGCTAGAAATTATCGCCCTATCTCCTCCCTAATAGCTGTCGACAAGATATTTGAACTCCTGTTGAGCAATCAGGTGACAAGCCATTATGAAGAAACTTTGTACTACAGAATGACAGCTTACAGAAAAAGACAGTTGCTAGAGAA